AATTGTTTGCCGCTTTTGGTGCTTTCAAATGCTCTTCCCGCCTCCTCAGATTTCACATCATAGAAAGCATTACCTTAATGAGATTTACGGTTTTCCTTTAATGGGTTGAATTAGGAAAGTTAAATAGGCATGGCTGGAATCAAACAGACTATGGATTCCAGTTTATTGCATGAAGCTTCTCCTTTTTAATTCCTGCGACGTGAAGCTCAAAGGAAGGTGGCTGCTCCTTTGTTTGTTCTTTTTTCTTCTTCCTGTAAGCTCTCGGCAAAAAAGTGAGGAGAGAGGAAAGAGGAGAGAAGAGAGAGGAGAGGGAGAGAGGAGAGAGAGTTTCTTGTAAGTCGACGTGGTCGACGGTGTATTCCTCAAGCTAATAAAATTCTCTACAACTCCGTGGACGTAGACAGTTTGCCGAACCACATAATTCTTTTTTTTCTGGTGTAATATTTTTGATTTGTTTTTTTATTTTATTGCCATCATTTTTTTTCCAACATTTTATTACAATCACTATTCCAACAACTGACATTATTACAACCACCGAAATTATTACAAAATTTTTCATGAGCTCAATGGAGCATCACATCATATAACTGGCCTTCTTTCTGCTTTGAATTTAAACTGAGGTAGGTAGTCATTTGTTCCTGATTTTTTTCATCATCTGACCTGTGATTACATACTGACATATTTTCTAATTCAAATAGTGCTTTCATTGTTTCTGATAGAACTCTTGCATTGTGGATATTTTGTTTCATTGTGTCATGAATTTCTTTTAAGGAGAATTCATGAGATTTCATTGTGCCAAACTCTCTGTTTGGGTGCATTGGTCCTGGCCTCTAGGCACAACAGAGGTGGTGCCAAGGCTCTTGGATGGAGCTCCTTGACGCTCAGAGTATGGTGTCTAGGCGTCAGGCATGCTAAACCCTTCTTGCTCCATCTCAACTCAATTTAACACAATTTTAGCTCCGCTTTGCTCCATATGCCCTATCTGTTATTAGGGCTATCAAAACAGCTCATTGTTCGCGAACAACTCGTGTTCGACTCGTTAAGAAGCTTGTATTCGGCTCGTTCGCTAAGTTAACGAGCTGAACACGAACAACACGAACAAAGATTTATTCGTTCGTGTTCGGCTCATTTTGGCTTGAAATACTACTAATCAATTATATAT